TAAGCCAGATGTTCACAGTATTATTTTACAAATGAGGGAACGAAGTTCACAGGACTGGCTCCAGACCCCTTTCTTCCCACTGAGTAATCCACTGCCCACCAACTAGTCATAAGGGAATTATCCAATTCAACGTAAGGCAGCATACCATTACAGTCTCTTTGTTTCCTTGAATTGTCTCCATTTCCTTGTTCCTCATCTTCTGCTTAGATTTTAGGCCTGGAGGGGCACCTCTGAATGTGTCCACTGCAGCACAGCATGGCACAGAGATGCAACTTAGCATTGCTCAGTGCAGCAATGCAAGTGACAACGGTACCAGAATCCAGTTCACAGTGAGGTCTTGGAGGAGATCTCCAGCGGATCTCAGCATGACTCAAATCAGGCACCTCACAGACAGAGCAAACTTGGTTAATTTACAGTAGCAGCAAAGCCAACTAAATCCATCATGTCTCCCATTCCAGGCACCTCCCCTTCTGAGCATACAATGCCTGCATGGGGCAGGGCCCTGGGCTCCTTCTAAATTTTGCTCTTCCAAGAATCAAAAAGAGAGTCCAGGAAATGATTCACACTCAGCAAAACTCACCTTTTTAAGGCATTCAGTGTCTCCCTCTCCCCCCAGCCCTTCCTGGCTTAGCTGGACAAGAGATTCCCTTGCACTTAGAGAAACACCTGTGTTTATGAAGCTGAAGAGACTGCAGAATCTCCCCCACATCCCTCCTGCCAAATGGCCCCACCAGCTGGGTCACTGCATCATGTTATTTTTACAAGACTAGGGAAAAATCACATGCTGCTCCCTCTAGTGACAACCTAAGCACATCTAAGCAATATGGCCCCCACTTGAGGCACCACTGTAACATTCGTTTTTAGGCTCAATAGAAAACATTTTAACACAGGACATAGTGAAACTCTCTCTCTGCCAGCCTTAACCTTCCTCCCTTGCCCATACCTGAACCTACCTTAACCCCTCTCTCTGAGGCTGCTGCTCGGTAAGTGCAGGTCTTGCCAACCTCAAGAGGCTGCTGACAGGATTTATAGAATTTCACCAATCCTCAGTCCAAATCTAGTCTGAGCTGAGAATGACCTCCAGGTAAGAGCACTAGACAGCCATGGTGACCTGAGAGGGGACATCACGTGTCTATTCTGCAATTGGCACTAATTGATCAAATAAAAGCAAGCAGGGAAATTAAAAGGAGCTACATACCAGAGAACTGCCATAGCATTGCTCAAACAAGCAGTCTGGCTCCCACATTCATTCCAGGGATGTCAGAAAGCTGTTAAACCCAGATCAAGTCACTGTAAACTAGGTACAAAAATGGATATTAAAACTTCATAGACAAAAGCAAACTGGGCAAAGACAACAAATCATAGGAGGATGATGTTAATATAACCATTGCCTTTCTACTTTACATTGCATATTTCAGACCCTTGAGTACTGTTGATGGAGACCCAAGGCTCCAGCAGAACAGGAGTACCACATACACTGGCTGCTTGGGACCACCTTATTTCTGCACACTGTGATGCAGGCAGGACATCAGCTCTGCAAAGGTCTTTCCTCTTTGTTTTCTAATCAGAAGGAGACATCATGGGATACCTGAAGAGGAGGGTGTTGTTTCTTTCTAGAACTTTACTAGTTTCATATTTTGGCTGTCTCTCCCATTACAAGCAAATAACCAGCAGAGGTACTGAACTCCTCTGGCCCAGGAACCCAGCCATGCGTGGAGAAACAAAGTTTGGCAGCTCTTTCCAGGGCTGGCTGGCACACAAGCGTACACCTGATTGCCAGCACATCTCACCAGCCCCTTTAGCCAGTTCCAGCTCTTGTCCTGGAAGTACTGACCTGAAGCACTTGATTGACTTTCCCCAGCATGGGAAACAGTGGCATACCTGCCCTCCATTCCCACTGACAGCAAAGCCCAGGCCAGTGTGGGCTCTTACAGAGAAGAGGGTGCAGGCACTGGTAACTGTGGTGGCAGAGCAGCTTGCTGGCAAGGTGATATACATGGGCAGGCACACATGGTACTGGAAGTCCCTAGTCCTTTATCAGCCAAAGGCAAATGTCTAAACCTAGATGCCCCAGTGCTCCAGAACTGGCATCCCAGTGCCTTTGTGTACCCATATGGCACGTACACATGCTGGGAGATTATCAGAGAAGCTTGCCAAGACCCCAGAGCACACAGGGCTGTTGTACCAGGGTCCCCTCCTGGGCATGCATCCCATCACACAGCTGCACCCAACTTCAGTCCAATCACAATCACCACCAGGAGAAAAAAAAGTTTCTCTCCTCGCAGTAATAGAAAGCCTAAAAAGGGTCCCAAAGCCCTGTTGCCTCTGCCTGAGTTTGCAGGGGGCCTGAGAGAAGCTGTTCTGATGCAGGGAAGCCATATAGGCAGGGCTTGAGCCACCACTGCACCCATATCCTGGCTGCTCAGGGTGAGAGCAAAGAAGAGAAATGTAGCATGACTGCTGCCAGCTCTCACCAACTCCTTGCAATGCTGGCTGCTTCTATTCACTTTATCTGCCTCATACCAAAAGAAGCCCCTGTGAAAACCCTCTGTTAGTCCTGATGGACTTCCCCCAGTGTCTATCTGTCCCCCCAGACTGATAGCCTTCCCCCAGTGTCTCTCTCTGCAGTGTCATCTAAGTGATGGCCTTCAGACCTGTCCAGGAGGTCTGCCTCCTTCTCACGTCTGTCAGAAAAACAGTCACCAGCCAGGGCCTGAGTGGACAGGCAGGATAATCAGAGCAGCACCAAGAGTAATAGAAGCCTCTGCACAGAGTTGGGAAGATTTAGAGGTACAGAGCAAGCAGGCTCAGAGATGCAGAAGCCTCTGGAGGGGCACAGGCTGCTGCAACTGGGAGGTGGTAAAGGCCATGGAGCCTCGAGAAAAGGCCCTGCAGTCCTGAGGGAAGACCATGGAATCCCAAGGGAAGGTCTTGCAGTCCTGAGGGAAGGCTATGAAGCCCGAGGAGCTGTAGGAGGACAGGACATCTGTATTTGATGTACTGGAGCTGTGCAAAAATAGAGAGGCAGCAGCTACCAGAAACCCCAATTTAGCAAGGTGAGTGAGACTGGGTGGAGAGAGCTGGGCCTGCAATTGCCATTCTTCCTTACAGCATTGTCTAGGCTCTGGTTTCACTCCATAGCCCTCCAAAACAACAACCCAGAGACCAGTAGCTGTGAGCTGAGCCATGCCACACAGACACCCACTCCCTCATCCACCACCACCACAGCCTCCATGGGTCAAGGTGCTTGGACCAGCAACAGAAGGCAAAGAGGCTGCAAACAGGGCTCACTCTCAGCCAGGGAAGTTCCAACCACCACAAGACACAGCAGGCAAAAACTAAGACAACAAAGCAGTCAGGACAGCGGGTAAGACACAACCAACCAGCCAGGAATGCTGGCACTGACACAGGAACAGAGAGAAATCTGCCACCTGCTACTGCACCTGGGAAGAGCAGCCGAGCAGGATGGGGACACTGGATGTGCTTATTTAATACCACTTCATTCTCAGCCCTACAGGTATTTAAAATAAATAACTAAAATTAATTAATTAAAATAATCACAATGCCACAATGCCATGGCATCTCTGTGCCCTCCACAGACAGGAGGGCTTCAGCAGAACAAGCGGTGGCTGGGTGTCCTTGCTCCTTGTCTGGGTTCTAATGGGACAGGGCTTCTAATGGGACAGGGCTGGCATGTGACACGCTGGCTCCTAGTGAGGCATGGCAGGAGGACAACACACAGAGTCCTAACAGGACACATGTGATGCACTAGCTCCCAGCAGGACACGGACAATGCACTGACTTGTAGTGAGGAAAGGTCAGCGTGCATTGTCCGAGCATGACATAGGCGATACCCTGACTCCTAGTGGGACACGTGCAGCGCAGCGACTCCCAGCAGGGCATGTGTGATGCACTGACTACCAGCAAGACATGTGCTATGCAGTAATTCCCAGCAGGACACGTGTGATGAATCAACTCCCAATGAGATACCTACAGTGCAGTGACCCCAAGTGGGACATGTGTGATGATGCTCTGACTCCCAGTGGGACACAGGCAATGCAGTGATTCCCAGCAGGACATGTGTGATGCACCATCTCCCAGAGGGACACATGCAATGCAATAACTCCTAGCAGTGCAGGATCAGCATGCAAGGCTTGGACTCCTAGCATAACACGTGTGGTGCACCAGCTCCTAGGAGGACAAGCCCCGTGTGCGACAAACCAATTCCCAGGTGATGAACTAGCTCCCAGGGGGACAGGGCCAGTGCACTATGCCCAGGACCCTCTGTACTGAGCTCCTTGTCCAGCTGTGAGTGCTGCCCTGCCAGAGTGCGGGTGCTGGGACAGGCCAAGCTGGGGGAAGAGATACCATAGAAGGGCTCCCAGTGCCATCTAGTGGGGGACAAGAAATGCTCAGGGGCCACCCATCCCTGAGACCTGGGTGCTGGTGAGCACTGCAGACCTTCCTCTGCCAGATCAGCCTCTCTCTTCACCCTGTCAGACCTCACTGCCCGCAGCAGCTGCCCCAGTCCTGCATGCTGCCCTGCTGCAGGCCAGCTGGCCCTGCCAGCCCTCCTCTTGTGCTGGCTCATCCTGGGCCCTGGAGGTTGTATAAAGCACCACTGTGGGGAGGACAGAGGAATTTATTCTATGTGCAGTTTACTAATCGTATTGTGTTTAGTCCTGTCAAGCCACCGAGTTTCCACCCTGCACATGGTGAGTACAGAGAGACTTGGTCAGATATCCATAGCTTCTGCCCATGAACTGCAGCGTCTGGGAGGCATTAGAGCCTCTCTCACAAGACAATGGTTCAAGAAAGTTACCCAGATAAGTACTTCATCTTCCAGGGCACACACTGACTCTCAATGTATTTTTTATTTGCATGGCTACCTGCAAATTATCCCTCATCTCTGTACATTAACTCTGACACACACAATCATGCATATACAAGAATGCACTGCAGACACATCAGCCAAAGAAAACACTGGCACGGTAAACAGCTCAGGTGACTGGACGAGTTTTATTTTATAGGCTTTCTCCCCCAAAAAACATATCAGAGGTCCTGGGAGGTGGGAATAGCAGATGGGGCCATAAAGATGTAGTACAGAGCTGTGGGGAAGTTTACACATAGGAAGGCTCCAAACAAGTAACAAATGCAATTTAACATATGAGGGAAGGGGGGTATGCAATCCTGGTGCGCATGAATGCAATCTTTCGTTCAATCTTTCTACGCAGCAGGCAACAGTCAATCTTTTAAGCAGCATCTCCACTCGTCCACAGCCTCTTTGCATTTTCTTCCATTCCATCTGCATCTTCAGGCTCTTCCTTCCTCACATGTCCTCAGCCTGAAAACAAGCCCTAGGATATTAAAGAGAAAACCATGACACCTTGTGGAACAGATGGAACCTTCTCCAGATAAAGGCACTCTCACGAATATCACTATGTCGTCCAGCAGGTCTGCCCAGGTACAGCCCGGGCAATAAAGACAGATCAAGTAGGCCCCAAATAACTATAAATTTCCAGTAGACGCCCCAGCTTCAACTAATGAGCAAACACAGCCCTGCTTGGCTCAGAGGATCAGCGTCTGGATTTTTGCTGGCCTTAATCGTGATTAAACTGAGCATCTCTCCAGGTAGTTTTTCCAGGGAACTAAAATCCTTGCAAAAATTAAAGCTGCAAGATGCTCTATTATCCTCGTCATCCACCTCGAGATCAAGGCAAGGGGTAAGACTAGAAAATCAAAGCACTCAGTCTGAGACTTATCATGGTGATGATCTCACCTAGTTTGGATCCCAAACAGCCCTGCAGTAATACATGAGATAAGTCTAGAAATGGAGAGACAGGAAATGGTCACAGAGAGATGGCCGCAGAGTTCAAGGCAACAGGAGGGAAGGAGCTGACAGAAAATCCTGTCTGTCATTAAGAAGGCTATTGGTACAAGCAAGGACCTAGGCAAGCTAATGGAATGGGCACATCTCTCCAGCAAAAACCTAGCACAGACCCAGGACACCAAATGAACAGCTCAGGTATCTCCAGAAGGGCAAAATGACATCCCCACAGGGTCACATGCTCCCAAACCCCTTGTCCCTAGGACAGCCCCTTCTCACCTACAGCAGAAATCCTTCAGGTTCCCAGTGAAACGCTGGCTGGTGCCTGAACATTGGAGCAGAGGGATGTCCTCTTCCCATGGACTCACCTCCTCTGCTCTCACATGTCCCACCTGCCAGCCTACTGCCTAATTTAAAAGCAGCGGAGTCTGGGATTGGAAAGATCAGGCAGGCTGCGGTGGTCTAATGGACTTCCTCAGGATTAGTATCCAGAGCTGCCCTTTCCTCCTGGAGCAGCAAGGTCTGAAAGAAAGGAAAGAGATGGGGGCAGACATCAGTCTCAGAGCTGAACTTCTCTAGCCACTGAAGATCAGATTATTAGTTTGAGAGCACTTACATGAGAGAAAGCATAGCTGGGGAACTGCTAAAGAGAGACTTGGCTAGGTCCCCTCCGGGTCACCAAGCACACACAGGGCGGCAGAAGCAGCTTCAGGCTCTTGGCTCTGTCAAATTTTGGTGGCAAAACTGAAAAATGTGGTAGAAGACATTTTCATTTTGCAAATTTTGCCAAGCTGTCAGGACACGCTGGTGATGACGTGCTGCAGAGAGATCTGGGCTGGCGGCAAGGGGAGCTGGGCTCAGGGCAGGTGGGAGGGAACATGGGAGTACAGGACATGGGAGGGAGAGATGGAGGAGACTGAGGTGCATGAACATGGCAGGGTGGACCCTGTTAGTAGAAGAGGGAAGGACAGGATTGACAAAAGGTGTTGGGGGGGATTATCAGATCCTAGGAGAGCCGAGGGAGAGTCAGAACCATCAGAGACTCAACAGCCCAAACAGATCACAGCAATCCAGTCCCTGCTGGTGCATGGCCCATTCCTGAGAATTAGAATGTTACAAGGTGAGGCCAAGCAGACTTTTCACTACCTCCAGACCAGGAGGACTTCAGCCGGCCTTCAGTGCTGCACATCCAAGCAAGCCCTGCTTTCTTCAGCAAGAAGCCCTGAGGGCTGAGCCACACCATGCTTCAAGATGACAGCTGGCATCTGCATAGGAAAGGATCCCTCAGCAGAACATGCCATTATCCAAACTCCAAGAAAGGTGTTAACATCTGCCATCTGGCTCCAGAGAGGCTTTAAGAGTCCTAGGAATGAACTGGGTAACCCCAACCCCACCCAAAGAGGAGATGGAGCTTCCCCCCTACTGGACAGTTGCTCCTCTTCCTGGGGGCCTAGGTTCGTCTACATCCCACATCCAAATAAGTTTCAGGGCTCAGAACAGACCCCTCCATGGAGACTGGGATTTCCCCAGATCTCTTTGCCCAAGCAGGCCAGGGCAACGCTCAGCAGGGAGGTGAGAGGGATGGCTGGGGTTGTACAGGAAGGGTGGGCTCAAACAAACATTTTTGGAGGGTGCAGGGTGCTGCCATGCTCCCACCGAGCTCCTTCTGGATGTGCCTACAAGGCCAAACAGCTTCACTCCCTGGCTGGCCCCAGGTCCCAGTCCCTGACTGTCCATCCACACTGCAGGAACAGCTTTTCACAGGTAGATTCTAGTTCAGAGGGGATCAGCTTGGCTTCTCCTAGGCAACGCATCACCGCACATGGGACAGCTCACAGCCTGGCTGCCACATCTCTTTGAAATCACAGAAGTCTGGGACTGCTGAAACCCCAACAGTTACTGATGGTGTCTCAGGGCCAGCAGGTACCGGAGGAAACCTGAGCCAAAGACTATGCAATGTGGAAGCACTCAGCCCTGAGCACTGTGGACTTAAGCCACCCTGCATCATGTGGCATGGGAGTCAGGGACTGCTCATAGAGACAAATGCCTTTGATGCTGAAGCTCTGATACCACTGCTGGAGTCAGCTCAAGCCTCCTGGCCCACGATAAAAGTTGTACTGGGTCAGAACAACAGCCTGCCAAGACCAGTACCCTGCCTCAGCAGTGACAGGACACTCAGAAGAGGCCATAAGAAACAAGGTGAGTAGAGTGATCCCATCCCCAACGGTGCCTTCCTAGGTACTGGCAAACTGCTCCTCAGGGCACTTCCCAAGCTGGAGATTGTAGTTGCCTTGGGATTTTTAACAGTGCTGAGCAAAAGGTTACAACTTGTTCTGATTGCTGCCTCTCAACAGGGAGTGAACAATCCCTATATAACTTATCTGTAAAGGAGGGCAGGGTCTCCTTGAATGTTTTTTTCAGAGACACACACATATAAGAGATATATAAATATATATCTCTTATATATATAAATATTTATATATAAAAGTGTGTGTAGATAAAGTTATAGATAAGGTTAACTGTTACTTCTAAACAGCATGCTGAAACCACACAGCGTGCAAAGCAATCCCACCCTTCTATCTGTGGCATTGGGAACCTACCGACAAGGAACAGGCAAAGCAGACCACCTCCAGACTGGCAGCAGAGTCACAAATCCTGAGGCTGATGTCCTCCAAACCAACATGCTGGGTCGGTTTGGACTCTCCAACCGTCCATGGGATCCCAGCAGACAACTCTTTAAGTTATGTCTTCCACACAGTGACAACCAGCAAAAACAGATACATGCTGGCCTTTATTCTGCCTCAGTACTTCTCTGCTCCGGCAGTCAGAGAAGCATCAATGTTTGCCTACACCTCAGCACAAACACATGATCTCAGACAACCTGCAGCTCACAATATTTTATTCTTGTCTGTTGAATACTGAGGTCCTGCCATCAAGGCAGGCCCTAGCTTACTGTTTTCTGTGAATGAAAGATGAAGGAAACTACAGCTCTGCTTAAACTGTATTTTGCTGAGCATCAGTCACTCCCTATAATTATTTAGATCCTTAAGAAACATAAGAAACTAAGACAAACAAGAGCCACAAGCTAAGATGACTGCACTATATTCAAAGCGCTTTTATCTGTATGCAATGAATAAATAACTCTGACGTAACTACTTACAGCAATTTTTCACGAGATGTCTGAGTATCAAACTCTCCTTCCAGACTTAGCACTGTGACACAGCTCTGGGCAAATGTACTAATGGAAAACCACCAGCCACAGTCACAAATGTGGCTAAAATCTAGCACACAAATCCAGGAGAAACTGCTCCAAGGGCATGCAACACCGTCTCCTCTTTCTATAGCTATTGCACAGTGCAAGCATCTCTCTGTGCAGTTCACGGGTGTTTTAGCCCATATCCTCACCAGGGAAAGCACAAATACTCCATTCTCAAGGACAGACAAAAGGTCACAAGCTGAGTGGATACTCCCAGAATCCCACAAACAATTTGAGACCCAGAGCGTTCAGACTCAGTTTTCCCATGTGTCTGGCAAATAGACTTGGTTTGTACCCAAAGCGATGCCGGTAGGTGATGGACACTATTCATTTCCAGATTTCTGTTCAATTAAAGTCAGGATCTAGTGATTTCATCTGCTACCAGACTCTGACTGCAGGAAAATGCAAACATTTAAATGGACTATTTCTGCACTTGACTAACAATCAGCCCTTTTCAGGGAAAAAAGCTTGCTCTTTCATCTCAGGCAGCCCATATTGCCATTGCTTAATCAGGCCGAGATTTAAGGAAGCCCGCTGTGAGATGACACAGATTGCTTCCTCCCGCAGGAGCAGGCAAAAACCACGGTCAGCGTGTGACCGGCAACCTCTGCAAAAAGAGTCCCCATTATACACAACAGCCGAGTCGTTCTCTTCTTTTTCTGCTGACACTTGGTCCCCACAGACCTGGACTAGGATCAAGGGGCTCTGTATGTTCAACCATCCCACATGTTGACCCCTGTCCTTATTCCTCAAAAGGGCCAAACAAGTCTTAACTGGCCACCACACAGCAATGGGAAAGCAGGCAACTAAATGAGGAATAAGGAGCCGTTCACGCATCTTTTTTGCTTCCTGTGTCAGCCCTGTAGACAGAGCCTTGTCTGGATATGGATGAAACCATCTGCTCTGTGTCTGGCAACTCTGGGCAGGCAAAGGGCATGGATAGCTGCCGCATCCAGCCGCCTGCCACCCAGGCAATTCCCGGCTGTGCTGGGAGAGTGACAGAGCCTGAAGGAGAGGCTCTGGCAGCATGGGCTGCCAGCGCACAGGGAAGAAGGGGGCAGAGTCCAATCTTCAGGACAGGACTCGGCATCTGGGATTGATGTACACACAGATTCAGTCCAAATGGCTCCAGACAGTAGGGATTTTTTGATCCCCTTCCTCCTGGACCTCTGTGAAAGCGTTGGCAGTTGCCCTACAAGAGGAACAGCTGAGGGATTGTGTCTTCACCTTCTGCAGGTCCATCAGGGCTCTGGATTTACCATCCTGTGAGGGTGCTGGAGCTAAGCAGTGCAACTTCTCACATGGGCCTTGGGATTCAGGATTCAGCAGCCTTATTCCAGCTTGGGTGCTAAAGCTGCTACTGAGGGGCAGAAATTAAGCATGCAGGACCCCCAGCCACACATATTCCCTAACCCTCTTCTGTCCTAGCATGGCAGATAGGATGTCCCAGGCAAAGCTTTGTTAGCTCCATCACCACCCACACCACAACACACTCCCTACCTGCCTGGCAACTTCTACCTTTGGGTCCCAGTCTCAAAGCGCAGCTAGCACCTGGGAAATGCTTTACTCAGATCAGAACTAGCCATTACTCTGTGTCCAAAGTCTCCCCTGATTTAATAGGCCAAATTCTCAGGCTGTACAAATGACTTTACACAAACACTACAGCTATGCCTACCAACGCAAATGCTTTACTGACCCTCCCAGCCCAGGACCTGCTTCAGGATCTCCTGAGTTATATTTGATGCCAAAATCTGCATCTTGCATCAGGCAACTATGAGAGGGAGATTTTCACTTGAACACAAGAGTGGTTGAACACTGGAACAGGTTGCCCAGAGAGGTTGTGCAGTCTTCATCTTTGGAGATATTCAAAACTTGACTGGACATGTCCTGGGCAACCTGCTGTAGATGACCCTGCTTGAGCAGGGGGGTTGGACCAGATGATCTCCGGAGGTCTCTTCCAACCCCAACTATTCTGTGATTCTGTTTGACTAGAGCCCTCCAGATCCCTTCCACACAAAACGTCTATGGCCTCCAGGGACTACCAATATAAGTAAACTTGCAGATTATTCACCCCCTTGAACATGAGTTTAGGAAGAAGTCTCTCACTTGCACGGAGATCTCACTTAAATAACATCCAGAAATACCCAGCACCCCTCACAGGACTGTTTCCAAGGAGGTCTGAGGCAGTCCCTTGTAAGATATGTTACCTTTTCAGGTACCTCCAGCCCTTCCTCCCTACACGTCCCTATCCTGAGGCACAGCTCATAACACAGGCCTGAAACTTGGCTTTTGCCAGCAAGTCATTCAGAATCCCCCATTGTCCTTTGCAATTTCCAGCAGTGACATTCATGTAAGAGCATTCAGGTAACTTTTAACAGGGTTTCTCATCTTTCAGCAGCTTATAGCATAAGGAGTCTTCATGCGTTTGACTGAAAGTGAGTATAAGAAGGGCTGCAGAACTGGTCCGCAAAATGTGATAGTAATCACTATGCTACAGCAGAGCCCTTGCAAGCCTCCATGATTGTGTCCAGCCACACTGTTGGTAAGACTAATCTGAACACTAGATTTTATCAAGCAGCTCTTCAGCATGCCTGCATGACATGTCTTTGCAGCCTGGAGATCAAGACAAGCAAAGATCACTTTGTAAAGCATGTGTACAAGGAGTCAACTGAAAGTTGCGCAGACAACTGTGCTGTATCCCCATCCCCAAATCCCTGAAAACCAGCTGCCCTTCATCTACTTCCCTGCCCCTAGCAAAACAGTCCTATCAGAAATTCTTTGGAATCATACAAAGAGCAGAAAACAGTTTTAGAGCAGAAAGAGTCTGCAGCTTTCCATGCAGACATTGCTTATGATTCTTAAAATATATATATTTATGGGGCATGCACATGGATGGCTGCACAGGCATGGCCACAAAGAGGAGAGAGCCGAGTCTAGCCTTTTCTTGTGATAAACTAAAAAGATTAGTTTTAGTTTAGGGTTTAGTTTAGTTTAGGGTTGATTTCTTGGTGTCTGCTCCATCAAAGTGGAATTGGGCTAAAAGTCATGGAATGAATAGTACTGTACACAAACACACCATCCAGACTGTGGAAAGTCAGGAAATCCTGCACCTGCATGCCTGGCCAGGCAGCTCTGTGGGATCAAGGCAGCTCAGACCGTGAGAGGTGGCTATGCACGAGGCAGCAGGTAAACTTATAGGGCAAGCACCAAAACTGACAGCTTCCCTTGCTTCCTCCAAACCAGGGAGATGAGACAGGAAGATAGAAGGGAATAAAAACAAGGACAAGTGTACTCAATTTCTGTAAGTCTCCTGACTTCACCTCGTCAGCTCAGCTATTAGAAACAGATGCAAGAGAACATATTATTTGCAGATGTATGATTTTAATCTGAGTGTCCCTTTCACTATAAAGAGGTAGTTGCGTTACAACTAAATGTCTCATCTCAGGCAGATTTCTCCAGAACACTGTAGCAAGAGAAACTGCACCCGTAGCAGGTTAGAGTTGATGTGGATCACTTCAGAAGAACATCATGGCCTGCCATTAATGACAGGTGCTGCCTATTAACCTTAATTAAGTCACAGGTGACACTAATCACTTAATAGGTCTTTAATTAGGACCTGAGAAGTTTTTAGGCACAGAAAAAAAAAATGCTATTTGTCCTGGCTTGAGATAACAGCCTTCTTCCTGCCTACCTTTGTTTTCCCTTCTCAGTTTTCCAGGTGCCTGGGGAAAAGCCTTGCCAGGCTCAATTCAACAACTGCACTGGATCTGGAAGATTTTGTGAGCACCTTGTTTGCTCCCCAGCTGACCTGGTAGCAAGTCTGAGTTTCCACCAGATCTCTCCTGCCCCACTTTCCTGTGACTGGATATCACTACACGGGAGCAGGGCCTCAGAGACTTTGGCACTAACATACACAGTTTTCTAGGACAACATGTTCCAATTCTAAGCTCCAAAGAGCATGTTAAGCGTGATGGGAGAGCCAGATCCTGCCTTGGGGCAGTTCCTAGCACTACTGAAATCAGTTTTAAGCCCCTGATCTGTCTCAGCCACAGCAAACCACTCCTTCAGCAGAGCCCATTGGCAGAGCTCTGTCACCTCCCAGGGACACTTTCCCTCCTTCAGAGCCACAGGAAGGACTCTGAAGGTCCACCAT